TTAGGAGTGACTAGGCCATAGTCAAACACGCTGGCCTAATGCTGGTAGGTTGACTTCACACAAATATTTTGCATTTCCTCACAGATATGCGCTGGTAGAATCACGATGTTTTCCTTTACTGTAAAAACGTCGGATAAATGTACATTTGGAAATCGAAGATCGAAAAACACTTTGGTACTCGGTGGGATTCGAATCCAGAACCTGCAGATTACAAGTTAAGTTAACTCTGAGCCACCGATGCTCTCCAATGCTTGCTCACCGACCAAACAAATGTGTGAAAATCACTAAATATTATAAAATAAAGTGCTGTCACTGTGTATGTTTAAAGGCAAGGAGTACCTGAGTTGATTGGTTGGTAAAACAGCCGATCTGACTTGGTCAGCTCAGAAATGTATGGAAAAATGTATCACATACTACAAACGTTTATTATTTTTATTCCTTACAATCATATCCGTGCACGTGTAAAAATATGGAGCATCGATATAGTACTACAAAGTTATCTGCCCCGGTGAGAGATACGCTGATTTCTCTAATACTCTATACAAGGTTGTTAGTTCTGCCAGAAAATATGTTGAACCTACTTAGAAATTAACAGAAAGGACAAGACCTACAGTCAAACAAGGGTTTTAGCTATTTTTATTTAGTTGCACGCATGCTTACCGGGTCAGATTTGTTGCTCTGTACAGTTCATCAAGGATCCTGTGGCATTAATTGGCATACGGGTGAGGTAATTGGTTATTTTAATTTCACCTTTGTTCACCGGGGCAGATAAGTCAGTCGGACTATATACTATATTGCTCAGCAATTGAAGCTGGACGTCACCGTGGGCCGTGGCCCGGCGCAGCATTACAGCGCAAACCATAAAGCTCTCTATGGGCCATATATCTAGCGGAATTAAATGGCTGTAAATCCATCGAAGCAAGCGCTTTCGTGGGCTTTATTTAGTGCACGGAAGCGCTGCGACCTATATTCTGAGGATGTAGGGAGTTAATAAATTTTTTAATGTAAGTAAAGATAAAACTTTGTATTACTAACAGGAAGTATTCCTATTTGTTTTAAGGGTTTTCAAAATTATTGTTTTAAAGTTCATAATTTAGATAAGTAATTTATTTAGGATTTTATTATTATAGCTCTCACCTGCAACTCCGTGGGTGCGAAATTAAAAAAAAACTTATTTAGTACCCTATGTGTTCTTCTCGACTGTATTGCAAACTTCATCGAGATCTGATCAGCTGTTCTGGTGATACCTATAACAAACATCCATCCATTCATCCTTTTATAATATTAGTAAGATTAATTGAAAAGATTACGTTCCGTGCCTTGAATTATCATTAGTAAATATTATGTTAAATTATTCCATAAAACACCGAAAGAAACGGGGTAAAAAATCTAACACGTCAAGTTCTGTCGTAATTTTTCGCATTTTTCTTTGCGTTTGAAAAACATCACCGAAGCTGAAACTTAGCAAGGAATTAATGCGCTGTTACAGGTTACATTAAGACATAAACCACGCATCGGATTCCACTGAAATTGCTCAGAGCGTTCTATAAAATGGCCGCTCTCGACGACCGCTCGGTCTATTTCGGTAAAAATAAATAAATATGCGCGCCCGCTGTGGCCCGATGCCAAGATGTCGAGTCAATTGAAGTGGCAAGACCTAAAGTACGCTCCGTCTATTTAAGATCACTAACCAATGCCAAAATTATAGAATTATGATAAGCTTACTGAAGACGTCGTTTTAGATTTTGTTGACTGTGTTGCTCTATATCTCTGGCGACCTCGCATAATGTAGTGTAGTTTATTACAGAAACGGACAAATGTTAATAATTTAATCAATTTTATTGTTTACATTCAAATGATTTATTACTAACAGTGTATATAGTGCTAGTATTAATAGTAAAAACACAACTACATATTATATTATGTATTTATCGGTTAATATATAATCGGTATTTATATAATAATTATTATTTAGAGGTAGAGGTGGGAGTTAAAGGAAAAAGTGGCACCTTAATTTTTTTAAAATCTAATTAAATCAACTTAATAAAAGCAAACAAGAACCAAAAGCTTAAGAAGCACTTGGTGATTCTACAATAATTATATATTTGACTTCATAGCTCCTATTAGAAAGTTTTAATATGTCACTTCCAGCGACTTTATAATAAAAAATCTGTACCACAGGACAAGTCATCCAAATATAACCGCACTTGATAACGACGTATTAGACGCATAAATGTTTTACGTCCGACGGTAAGTGTTCCATATTTAAAATTCGTTATCCGAACCGCTGGCCGCTTGTTTATGGTCCGATCTGAACGATGACGAGCTTCCGGTGTCGTTGTCGATGGCGCGACCGGCATCGATTTGAAATTAGAATCTGACTCATTCATAACGTGATCGGACGCTTCTGGCATAGGACGTATGCGCCACGTCAAAGTGACAGCCGATAACACTTAAAATTAGATGATATAGTATTACATACTATTGTAGTTTCGAGCTTCTAAATACAAAAAATTGGAAGCTGATTACAAGGCTTTATAATCTGTGATCTAGGTTCAAATCTATAGATTAAGAAGTCTTTTGGTACCCTTTATGTCCTAATAAATTGGTATCGTTAAAATTTACACTAAAATTGGATTTCAAGGACATCCTATACTTACACTATTTTTTTTGTTACAGATGATTCACCATAATATTTTTTTAATCTCGTCGGGTGGACAGTTCCTTAACATCAGAGACGTTTAATTAACAAACGGCGCAGCAGCGGCGCATGAGACGCTCAATAACCGAGCGAGTGGAGCAGCGACGCCCATCGCGTTATACTTGCTCCCTGCTAGGCACACCATGAGTTTGTTTAAATGAAAGACTGCTTGCATTAAAATAAGTGAAGTTAGCATGAATTTTTTACGGAAAAGACTGATATAAAGATATTCTATGACTACGTTATCATTGTCGAAAGTTATTCGTTTTTTTTTCTTTGTCTTCAGTATAATTACTATCTGATATCTGAAGGTTGACAAAAGTTACCGATCTAAACGGTTAAGTTGCATTTAATATTTACAAGTCGTCAGATATTAAAAATTATTAATTTTTTTGCTGTCGTTACGTTGCTCGAATTGTGTACTGTACCTTTATATTCCCTAATCTCTAGTATTTTTATAATTGAATTATATTTTTGATAATCTTTGAAATTGTAGTATTCATATCTATTTTTTATTGCTAATAAATGTTAAATGTTTCTAACGTATATTAATAATAATTTGAAAAAAATAACGTAAAATATGGTCACCCTACTTAATCGTGGGAACTTTGCTCGTACGCAGCCAAATTTCAAGAGGGCGGGGACACAAACTGCTTTATTTTTCACATAATTTCCGGATGTCTTTTAAGCCAAGTTATTATTATTCCTTAAATTGCTTAGTTAAACTCTATATGTAATTTTAAAACAATTAAGGTATGTAAATCTTACAAATATTATAAATGCGTAAATTTGGATTGATGGATGTTTGTTACGGGGTATCATAAAAACGGCTTTACGTACGTCGTTGAAATTTAAAATAGATGTAAAACAGCCTGGATAGACAAGGCTTATTTTTATTTCTTTTTTCACCACAAAGTCGCTGGCAAAACTAGTAACGATATAAAAGTCTGTAATTATCAAGTAAAATTTTAACTAGAAATTGAAACCTAGATTGAGAATTATGCTTCAAAAAGTTTGAAATGTTCTTAATATCATTCCCCTGGTTTCCCAGTCTATTCCTTTTTAATTTAAAATATTACTTGTACGTAAACCTCTAACCATAGGTTTCTGAGATCAAAATCATCATAATCATAAACATATCGTCATCCCTGTTATTATCTTTGACAAAACAAAAATGAAAATAAGTTTTAAATAGGTTGGAATTTTGGTCTCAGATTAATTTGCTTTTTTTGCAATCTTTAACCACATTACGTCTCTACCAATCATTTGAACGAGCAATTCCTTATTTGCTTATTTTAAGCAGCGACATTCAAGAAGGCTGTTACATATTGAGCTTTATAAACTACAAGCATCGGCGTTCACAAAGAGCATAATCGATTTATGAGTGTATCCAATAAAATGTGAATCGATTACCCGGTACCTCCAGGGTGCGTGTCACCCGTAACAAATCACCATGCCCCAGCGGACAATGGTATTTCTTCATCAAAGACAAAAACGGCAAATGTGCCGGCAAAATATGAGATTATAGATTATAACTTATATATTATATTTTATACAGGATGTTACTTTAAGATAATTATAAATTATTTAATTTTTTTTTGTTTTTTTTTTTAATTTATCATTTTACAAAAGATTTTAACACTAATTTTGTTCAGTATTATGGACATTTTTATGTAAATTACTTTTACCGTCCGAATTTTTTTGTAGTATGAAAGAAAACGTAACTAAAAAACTAACTGTAACTACATACTGTAGCTAAAGAAAAAATGCTCATTATCGCAAGTTATGTTAAATTTACTCGTATTTCTTTAGATTACCAGTTTACATTTTGTATAAAAGTTGCTTGTTTATTTCGAATGCGTGTTGTTTGTGGATTACATGTAGATAGATTTTGTACAATTCCTAACTTTTTTCAACATCCTGTATATAGTTAATGTCCGCGCGTTGCCAGCGGGGGAGGGCGTTTAAAAAGCAGTTCGCCAGCGGGGCGCGGGCGCCGGCGCAGCCTTTGTGTTTTTACTTTTTAATAAGCCGTAGGCATCTAGGCGGCTTCGGACAACACAATTTTTATATGGAATAATTAGTGATGTTGACGGTTTTAGGTTCACGTCAACATTTTATTGTTGGTTATGAAGGGTTTTTGGACGAAATAGAATTATGTTCACTTCCAATCTTAAAGGAGGTAAATATTTAAAATTTTAATATTATTTTCTAATTCGTTCAATGCAATACAATACAATATTTTTTGTTAATGTTAAAATTACAGGTCAAAGAGCGATTGACAAAAAAAAATTATTGAAAAAATTCTTCGTATGTATACAGAGCCCTCATAGCATATCTACTTTAAGTGTGTATTTTTAACCAGATTTTTCTTAATATACAACTTTTTATTCAGACAGTGTAAGTGACACTAAAATAACGTTTATTTTACAGTAAACGATCTCCAAAGTCAACGTTGTTTAACGATTGCTGAATTAAAATAAACGAAAAAAGGAAAAAAAAAAGAGTCGCATATAAAACGTTCGGTCACCCAACACCCCGGTGAAAGTCGCGAGAAGCTTTTAAACCGCTCGACAAGCGTGACAAGTTGACACGGACGTCCGTCAGACGCGAAACGGTTAATTTAGAGTTGTCCGTGGGTGGGAATGCTGGATTGTCTTGTGATGCTCGTTTTGTAAAGGTTAATAACCCCACCACAGATGGCAGGATGGTGTGCAGTTTATCTTTGATTGACCACACAAATAAAAAAGCTTACATGTATGCACCAGAGTCGTGTATTAGTGCAGTTAAACACTTATGATTCTGTCAGACAAACCCGGATAAACGAGAGCCCGAGATACCGCGATGTTTAGATAAATACATCTCGCTTACAAAGCTAACTCCACAATCCTTATAGAAATATCTTGCTCATAGAAGTCGTCTGTCAGAACGAACAATGGCTCTCAGTTATGTTTTTTTTACAACAGAAGGGGGCAAACGAGCAGCGGGAACACCGAGGTGTTCAACGACGCCCATGGACATCAGCAATACCAGAGGAACCGCAAATACGTTGCCAGATGGTGATACGCTCGCTGTATCTTCCTTATCCAGGTTTGCCTGTATTTAATATCATAAAGCCTGATATTAAAAAGAACTTGACCGTCAAATTGAAATTACTGGAGTCCCATAAGACAGCGAAACCTAGTTTCGACTCTCTATTTCCCACGTCGATCGCTAATTGTGTTAACTTTCAGTAAGATTTTAAAAGAAAACAAATAATAAAAAAGGGAACTCATTGATTTTCTATTTTTCTTATTGCCAATTTAAAACATAATGTACTACACTTTGAAGAAATCTATTTAATAACGTACTTGTTTAATTTAGGTATTATCCAATATTATCAGCTTGTGTTACAAGGACGCAACTAATAAATCCGAGGCAAAGGGCGGCTAACGCGACAACAAAAGGCGATCAAACAAAAGCTCTCATCAATACGCGTGAGTGTACAAAAATCACTCAATTTTTTATGACACGATGACACTAAGGATCCATTGTCACCTGCATATTGTAATTATCAGGCGGTCAGTAATGACGATTATTAGAAGCTGAGAGTCAGCAGACTCAAAGACACGCTCAAAGCACCGACCACTTTTATTACACTTTGATGTGGATTAAGTGACGGCTTGCCTAAAGTCGCGCCCTTTACGATGCAGGTAGACATCGCAACGGGCGTGAAAAGTTTTTGAAAGTCATCGCTTCTTGTATTTAGTAAGATGATTTTAACTAAGTATTTGGTAATGGCTTTAAAATGTAAAACTTTGTCATTTGTAGATGAAGATGGCAAACATTGTAATCTGATATAAAAACATTGTAAAACTGTAAGAATGTATCATTAAGAAAAAAGCTAAAAAAAATTAAACTACTACTCTCTCTCTCTACTACTAACTCTCTTTTTCTAAAATATTGTCTATTTATCGTAAGTTAAAATCACGCCACAAATACCAATCGAAACTTATGACTTGCTTGCATATAGTCTGTCGCCGAGACATACGGAACCTCTTTATACTTATTACTTTTAATTTTTATATTTAGAACATTGTGTATTTTTTCTTCCTTTTTGCTATTCAAAATTGTAGTTGTAAATAAATCATCTAACAGCCAGTGCGTGCTTATTATTTTCATTTATATTATACTATTTTATAATAGTTTCCAACCGCTCGGCTCCTTCCTCCTTACTTTCCGTAGTCTTTATAATCTAAACAATTGCTGTCAGAAGTTAAAACCTTAAGGAAATTACATTTATAGAAATAAAAACCTACTTCTAAATTAGAAAAAAAAAACTTCTTCTAAATTAGAAAAATGTTGGGGACAATGAGTCATCAAACAGTTTGTCCTCAAAAACTTGTACTCCTCATTTCATGCAAAATTAACATCAAGCAACGCATTTCTCTCGAGAAATCAATTCGACGACCGATCCTTTATTAACTTTTTTTTAAAGACGTGTCAAACTAAAATGGCGATTATAAGACATTTTTTATTTGCGTATACCAAACTAAATGTTAGGCGAATTTGAATTTTATCGCATTAAAAATAAAGCATTGATTATATTTTAATTCCGTTTTGGAATTTTGTTAAAAACGGCAATGTCATCGTTTCGAAACGGTCCCAAAAACGAGATACCTTTTTTTAAACACATTGTGGTATACGGTTTTTTTAAAGCGAAATGTGTGAATAATGTGAGGACGTTTTTTGTTGTTTATTATCGATTTTAACTAAAAATACAATAGACACAAATTAAATATGTGACAAGGAGAGAAATAGAAAAGCTTAACTTGTATTCATTTTAAACTACGACTCCTAGAAGTCAAGAAATTGATTAAGTACTTTCAGGACTATCGACCCTTAACAAATATAATTTCAACGACTTCTCGTTATTAACAAGATTCTGGCTACATAAAAGATCACTTAACGTTTGTTTCTGTGATCAAAAATGTATCATACTAATATTATAAATACGAACGTTTACATGGATGGATGGATATTTGTTTAAAGATATCTCCAGAACGGCTGAAGGGATCTCGCTGAAATTTGGCAGAGATGTAGAAAATAGTCTGGAAGAGGACATAGGCTACTCGATAAGTTTTTTTCTATTCCGCGCGGACAAAATCGCGAGTGATATCTAGTAGAACATAATCGTCGTCCTTGTCACTATCTTTAACAGAACAGAGATAAAAATTGGTTTTAAACGGCGATTTTGGTGAAACCCACGTTTAATGACTTTGGGATTGCGACCATTAGTCAAATAGGATTTGTAATGACCTTATTTAATAACTAGCTGTCGTAATGAGTATGCCTATATATTCTTCCAGACTGTTTTTCACATATGTGCCAAATTTCATCAAAATCCATCGAACCATTCCGGAGATGCCTTCAAACAAACATCCATCTGTATAAACATTCGCATTTATAATATTAGTAATAAGTAAATTGTAGATGAATATGACAATTTTATACCAGTAAACAAAAAAAAACAAATAAAGCTCTTTAATTTTTTGAATAAACGCGTTATCGCAATGTGATCGTCATACGTGACGTCAGCATTGTGCTAGTGCTGAGTCAGCGCGCAGCAATCTCCGCCAGATGGCGCCGGCGCCGCCGTCACAAACTGTCTTAGCCTTCACGACAGTTATACAAAAGAGGGTAGGAGTAATGCGGTATTGCCATAGTTAAATAAATTTAATTTAAAAAGTAATATTAAAAAAATCCACTCTACTATCTTACTAATATTATAAATGCGAATGTTTAGATGGATGGATGTTTGCTTGAAAGTATCTCGAGAACGGCTGAAATTTGACATAGATGTAAAACATAGTATGGAAGAACACATAGGCAATATTAAGTTTGTTTTTAATTCCGAAAGACTGGAGTCGTGGGCTACAACTTTATTAGAATGTCTTCGATAAGAGATTTTTCGTAATTTTGTGTTTTAGAAAAGCTATTAATTGTAGTTCCATCTTATTCAAAACATTTAAACAATATCTATAATAATTTAATAATTGTCGTAAAGCAAATAAAAAAAATGTAACTCGTAATTCTCCTACAGATATTTAGCGTATATATATTTAGATCCTATCTGTTGCCCGTGACTCTCCGCGTGGAATTAAAAACTTGATATTAGCCGATTCTAAGACCTATTGAATACGAATAAAAAAATTCATAAACATCGGTGAAGCTTCTGAGGAGTATTGTAACTAACATTGTGACAGGAGAATTTTAAATATAACATTATAAGACTTTATAGTAAACAGATTGAAACGTGGTCTGCAAATTCACAACCAAAATGCCGCGGGCCTTGTGGCACGTCCGGTAGCCTTAGGGCAGGTTCCGTACTTTATAACCAGTATAACTTGACCTGTTATGTAATAAATATATTTAGCGTGTTATGATTATTTGCTATTGCTCATATAGGACATTATATATCTTATTAGAAACTAATTGGATTGGTATATTTGATCATTTTGAAATCGGTCAACGAACAAAGAGAACCGTGAGATCTTTTATTATGTCAATAAACTATAGTAAAAGTCTTGTGTTTATTTAATTTTAAAATAACTAAGCGGATACTTAAATACTGCAAGATTTTGTAAGTGTTGTTTAAACATAATTGTATATATGTTTTCAAGATGTTTTATAATATAGGCGAAATACTTGGACAAAAACATTAAATTTGTCTTTTCTATCATTTACCTAACTACTCACCATTTTTTGTCTATCAAGGCGGCAATTATTTGACTTTGTTCATTCTCTTACATTAATAAACAAATTATTAACAATAACCATATCGTAAAAGTTCGCGTTCTACATCTTAAAGTCGAAATTATAGAAAAATTGTATTTAACTAGTAAATAACTAGACATTTGGCTTTTTAATATTAGCACTAATTATTATAATGTACTTTTAATAAACATATAAAAAAACAGTAGGTACTTGGTTTATAAAGCTCAGTATAAAAAAACCGTAGTTAAAGAAAGCCGTAGACATATTTCCTAGTTAGACCAACCACGTGTCGACGGGCGTTGACCTCACTGCATGTGACTGTCACCCGGTGTCACTGGGCGCAGGCGACGCGCGCTATTGGACGCCGTTGTCGCGGGCGGTAAGGCGACATCGCTGGTTGGTCGCTGCTGTCGCACGGCGGGCGGGGTGGGAGTTCCAATTTTAAGATGTCACTTTTTAAAATTCGAACTTTCGAACAAGGTTTTAAATTTTTTTTTTTAACTAATCTTTTTGAATCTCATCGAATCTGGACAAGAATAAGTATTTAATCTTTAATGTAGGATTCTATCTCTGTTAAAAATTAAATAAGGATCCATTGAGCCCTTCTGGAGACAACAAACATCTGTAACTACATCCAGTCAAATAATCTCATATTACTTACCTTTAAAAGTTAGATAGATATAAGATTAGAGATAGATAGGACTTACTTCCATCTATAGCTTCTATGTTCGTAAATCTGACAACACTGGGATAATTCCAGTATATCTGCGGCTTGTGATATTAGTGCTCTCGGGTCCCGGCTGGGGGGGTCACCAGGGGGCGCTATCGATCGCGCCCACTCCCCCCTCCTCCTCCGACCTCACCACTCTCACCCCCCTTGTGACCTGCAGCCTAATACCTATGCAAACATAAAGTTTGTCTTAGCATTTTGTTAAAGAAATTAGATGCGCAATTTAATTCGATAACAGAGAGAAAAGGTTTTTACCTTTGTAATAATAACAAAAGCAATAAATTATTGTTAATGGATGGTTTTTACATTATTGTTTTCAGCTAACAATGATCGATTTTGAAAAATTTAAAGTTTCTAAGTTGGACTTCGTCTTAACTATTTTAGTAATATTACATCCAAGCATTTATAATGCGAAAAGTTCAATGTTTGGATGAAATAGGTATCTCCGTAACGGCTTAAAAGATCTCACTCAAATATGACATAGATGTGTAAAGTCGCGGGTTATAGCTGGTTCTAGCTACAAATAGATTGTATTTCGTCTTTCATTTGTTGCATCGCTACTATAGAAGTTATGTGGGAAAAAAATAGTTGAGTGATAATAAAATTGTTTAAATAATTTAAACACTTCTATGAGCTAGGGAGAAGGACGAAAATATAGCTTTGGTTTGAGTTTTTTTAATTGTCTTCATGCTGTCTTTATTTAATAAAATATATTAACAAAGACTATTGTTGATAGTAATAAAATGGTATCTTAATGAATTTCAAATCGATTATCCACGAGACATTGGATCGATACAAAATATCGATACAAAGGCATTGGGCAATAGACATTCCTCGTGTTAACGACACTACTGTTTGAAAGACAGTTTTGACTAAAAAGAAAAGGACTAGGCAAAGGGTAAATTTTATTCCTTTTCGCTTTTAAGTAAATAACATGATGATAGGGATGAAAATACAAATGTTCATAATCACGTTGACATGTAAAATTGATACATCATAATAAACGCACACTGACTCAAAAACCACACACTTATACAACAAAAGCGAGTTAGTATAGAGCTTATTCTTCTTTTTGAGGTATTGTGCGCTTGACAGACAGGTCCTGTCTCTTATAAATCAAAGATTGAAAGGCATTAACATTCGACGTCATTTACCTTTTATATAACACCGGCTATTATCTTCTGTACTAATTACTTTGTAATTAAGAATTAATTGGAAATGCAACTCTAATACATTGTGATAAAGCTTATACTTCGAGTGCATTCACATGTGTAGGAGACAAAAGCTTTGGATAGACAGTAGACTGTTACACCGAAGTGTAATTTATTTACAAAATAAATTAAAGCAAACTCTCTTTTTTTAGGTAAATTCTACTATTATTACTCCTAAATGTTATAACTGCAATCGCTTCATAAATCTACGAGTAGGAAATCTCATTGTCATGGATCTTTAAATATATTCGTAAGGTTTTAATTGGTTACATTTATCACACGTAAAACTTAATCAATACTTAAAAACAAATCAATGCTTCGTACTGTTAGAAAGAAAATCCGACACTGTGCCGGTGTACTGGAGCAATACTAGCATTACTAAAATGTCAATTTTATTTTTGTTTATGTTCCCTTACTAATCAATCTGACATTTGACTTGGTAAAGAAAGCGCACCATTTTCATCAAAAGATTGTAACTAATAATGTCTAATAGTTGCTTTAGCGACTTTATTTTCTAAAGCGAACTTACAAATTGGGTAGTAAATTCGTTTCGGTGTGACAGGCGGAGTCATATGAGTTTATATACGTCAATAGCAGGTCTATAAATTCGATAGTATCGTCTAGATCCCGCTCCGCGATGCAGACGACTTAATACTAATTTGTACTCAGCCGACGCTATCATTAACTTTAAAACTATATTACTTAAATCCTTAAGACCTTATAGCTCAGCGGTTAGAGTAGATACACTTAGTATAATGGATCTAGATTACTATTTCAGTTGCATTTTTAAATTGATAGTATCGCGGGACTACGAAAGGTGGCGACCACATTTTAAGACTGATAGGAAATGAAAATATCCTTATTTCTTCACAATCTCTCTCTCTCTCTCGCTCTCTTTCTCTCTCTCTCTTGTTGGAAATGTCTATGGACAGAGATCATTTCTTACTCTATCCTAACGATTTTAATTGTACTATTATACTAATTGGTTTGCTATGTATAAGTATAAAAATCTTTAAGCTCTTGTGCACGAGAACATTTAAGAGATAAAGTAAATAATGTAACATGTAAGGTATGTTATATATGTTTATATATGCAGCCGGCAGGAACAATGCTTCGCTAACAATGTAAGCAGATGCGCGCGACACCTGAACGGAACCGACGCCTCCCGCCTCGCGCCCCTCCGCCCCCGGCACAGCGTAAATCATCTCTGTACGACTCAAATAACCCTACTTTAAGGGGTGATAAACAAGCAACAATTTATTTAACGTCAAAGAACTTTAGTTTTTTTAATATTACAGACAAAAAAATAAAAAGAACCTCAAAACTTTATGTCGTTAAAGGTCGCAAAATGTCAAAACAAATGAGCATCTATAAGCAAATTCTTTTTAATGCAGTAACTTTTTGCTAAGTCATTAATCTATTAAATTTCAATATAACGACATCAACGACAAAAGGGACCATCGGATGCATTAATATAACTACAATAATGCTATTCCGTATTTCGTTACATGTTTTTATGAGCTGACAACACTGCATTTCGAATGTCACGCCTCGTTCATCGGTGCGCGGGAAAAAAGAACGTTCCTTTTTTCAAATCGTAGCGCCAGAAAAAAACCGTTTATTTTAAGTTCGGAACACGTATAAAAAGGTTCCGTTACATCCTCATTTAATCAAGGGATGCGTTCCTATCCACGCATTATGTTCCCATATTGTGTTTTGTTTTTTTCTGGTTTAGTCTCGTTTTGTCATCCACGTAATCGAATTTTTGACAAACAATGTGGGATGAAATTGGTTCCTTTATTGATCCGCCATTTATGGTGCCGGTTAAATTATCGATTGGGTCTCAGAATCGATGTCTTCTTGTTTATATCAGAAGATTTATGAGATTTAGACTTTAGATAAATTGAATCGCTTTGAAATGTAATGCATTTCGATATTCATATTCTTTAGGGGGAGTTATTTTAATCTACTTAATAAGAGTAATTTACAAAAATGAATTGACGAAATGGACATATAAAATTAATTAAAAATTACTTGCCTACTTCTTCATTAAATCAGACAGAGTTTGAGACTACTCCAAACAGCCAGAGTGTTATAGTTCCATTTTATCTGTAACAAATTAAATTAAAAACAAATTAGTTGCATTATTTAAGTGTTAATAAAGTTGGTGACGGCATTTGGTGCCATGCGAGTAGTCTTTTGTTGCCGTAACACGGGAGTCTGTTCGTTTGGTGCCGTCGAGCTAGCGAGGGTCTCAAACCGCCTGTGGCTGAAACAAGCCACATAATTACACAGATCACATTTACGAATGTAAATGTGTCTGAATTAGGGCTGTCAAAAAGCATTATAAATTAAGTGAACTGTCTAATGAATTCACTTCAAAATTTTAATTAAAACTCTTATAAGTAGCAAACTCCTAAGCCAAGTAACAATAGGTTTCCGCGCTATTCAAAACTGAAATACTATACAAAGTTTATTTAACTAATCTTGGTGTAGTTTTTCAGTTAAAGAACTACGTCATTATATTATAACAACAAAGAAAATTTCACTTTACTATTATGGGACTAAAATTAAGATCCGCAACGACACTAAAAGTTACTTATGAATTACGTAAAGTTTTTTACATTCATTCTATTTCGTATATAAACAAGTTCCGATAATTACAGACATTTTTAAATTCCATTCATCCATTGTCGTATAAGTTCGTGTAATGACTTTTCAATCACACCCCTAGATGTAGCCGCCATAAATCATGTTGCGGTCATCTGCCGCCCGCGGCGCTGCCGACGCGCCGTACACAAGCCAATATAACCAGAGCTCGTGGTACTCGAGATGAGTTTGTATATAAAGTTCATTTTAAACTGGACATCGTTTCAAATGTGTATCAACGGAACGTATTGTAAGCGGGGTATTCTTTTTTCAAATCGCGGCGGGCGCGTCTGACAGATGTATGCGATGTTGCCATGTGCGTTGATAGTGACTCGTAATACGTATTTAAACGGTGGGATTAATAACCGTTTTGGACGCATTGAAAACCCTTTTTATAATATTCCCATCGATATTAATATGAATGATGTCATTATAATTATATTTTGTAATGATTTTTAATTGTTCTCACTCAAAAAACTTGACCTTGAACAAGAGGAAACATACGTAATTCTTTAATTTATGCAAACAGAAGACATTTTTCATGTAAATTATTCACTTCTCAATTGTTTATAGGAGTCAATATTGAATTGGCTGGAATATATTCCGTATTATACTCGAAAATTATACCTATTTTCAAATTATTTAGAAATCTTCTAATACTTAATTAATTTAATTAAAGCTACCAAAAATATACATATAAAAAAACGATAAACTCTACGACGGTTCAGAAATGTTTAAATTTCTCCTGCATATTTTTCTCACGCCCGTTAAACTCCATACAAATATAACACGTTAAATATAAATCGAGTAACTAAATTCAATTAAAAATCGTTTTAAAGTTTCTTTAAATCGCAATATGTCGCTTATTAAATGGAATATTTCTCGCAACTGTCAACACGAATCCAGATAACCGTGACAAGGCGCGGTCGTTCGGCAACTCGATCGATTCCCAGAAACGAAACGGAATCGATTTATTTATCGATAACATCAAATCGATTCAATCTACTATCGCGAATCTCGAAACAAGTCTTGCATAAACGAATAAAGTCACACTCGGTAATGTCCAAGAGGAATATAGTACTTTTTTTTTACAATGGTAACACCGAAACGTCAATTATAAATGCGAATGTTTGAACGTATGTTTGTTAGAAGGTATCTTCAGAGCGGCTGTATGATCACGCTGAAATTTGGCATAAATTAAGATATAATCTGGAAGACCTCATCGGTTACTAATAAAGTTTTTTTTACACCATCAAACATAATTAAAAGTTTAAACTATCAACTTTTGAATTGCTTAGTCTATGATTTGTCGATGGATTCGGACAATTTTTAACGAGGTTACTATTCTTTCGAATGATTCCTGAGTGCCGACAAATTCAACTTGTTCTATGAACACAAATCTCAAGATTGCTAGAAGAGACTCCAATGTTTGAGTTCAATAAAATTTTGTTAGCTAAAAATGTATGAGACATAATTTAAAAATGATTATAAGCAAAAAGATTCTGTTATAGATTGTCTAGGACTAGATTTTAGTAGCAATAGCTATTCAGATATTATGCTACAATATTTTGAAGCACCACGTATAGAAAATAAACAAAATTTTACATATCTTTATATATATAATTCTTTTGTGAGTGTGTATGTCACTAAACTTCTCTCAAACGACTGGACCGATTTTGATGAAAATTTTTGTGTGTGTTCAAGGGGATCTGGGAATGGTTTAGATTCACAATTTTGTCCGCTGGACAATGTTTTTTTAATTAATTTTTAATTTATTAGTAGTTGTTGATTTTGGAATGTTTTACATTGGATCCGACAGACGGCGCTACCATCGCAGTGTCAAATTTTAAATAAAGACAGGACAACGTCTGTCGGGTCCGCTAGTTATTTAATAAAAGGTGATAACTTAAAACAAATGTTCTAAAAACTTTTATGATTTAAATCAAAGAAATGGATTAAATTACGTTAAATCGTAGTGCACCATCTAACATATCTATATCCTTGTTATCCATACCTCGCTAATGAAGGCAAGAGTTTTGCGCTCGTTCCTTTTTCCCTTTTCATTTGCTTCAATCGAGTTCACCGGAAAGGGGAACTATAAATTGCCAACGCTTCCAACCGGAAGATATCAAAATGGCCGACCATTTGAGCCACTTCTAGCAAAGACTCAATTAAATGCTGTACTTAATTAAACAAGGTCATTATTCTAATCTAAAACACTAATAATTTTTTCCGTGTAGTCGCAATCATCATCATCAGCTCACTATACGTCCCCGCTGAGGCTCGGAGCCTACTCAAATTCAAGGGTGACTAGGCCATAGTCATCCATGGTTCAGTGTGAGTTGATATGTGCAGATTACATCACGATGTTTTCCTTCAACAGAACATCGGAACATTGCTCCATGGCGATATTCGAACCCAGGATCCGCAGATGGCAAGTCAAGTGCTTAACCCCTAATCTACCGACTGAATGGATCCGTTGAATGGAAAAAGACGAAGAATCGGGCGTTTGCCAGTATCGTGCTAATAGAATCGAGAGACTGGAGACTGGAGCGGTCTCCAGTCTTCAGAATAAAGAATAAATGCAAAAAGTTTAGATATGTCTTAATTGGTATGGTTACCCAAGTACATTTCCCAATACTCAGGATCTCGCGACATACAACGCAGGCAGTGCAAAGTCATCATACTAATTTACACTACAAAACAGCGTGATAAAACGTCGCAGTTGTTGTGACAGTTTGATTGATAGATGTCACGATGTCATGCGCGTGCCAGGCGCCATTGGAATCGGGTATATATGATCGTTACTCATGTTGACAACCCTAATTACTCCATATTGATTTCTTTCTCGAAGGCGTCGGTGGATCAAGGGTTTAAGCTCTTGACTTGTAATCTGCAGTTCCTTAGTTCAAATCCCGCCATGTCCATTTATCCCAAGTTCTTACGGTGAAGGAAAACATCGTGATGCAAGCTGTACATATCTGTAAAGAAATTCAAAGATATGTCTAAAGTTAATCCGCACTGGGCCATGGTAGACTATGGTAGTCACCCCTTACTTAAGGTGGGCTCCGAACCAAGCAGTGGGGAACGTGTAGTGAGCTGCTGCTGCTGATGATTCCTTTCTTGTTTTGTTTAACAGTACTTTCAGTAAAGTTCTCTTACAAGACCCTAAGGACTTCATGGAGACCTTTAAATAACTGAGTATATTAGAGCGTAATCTCCATATCTATGTTTTTAAAAATAATAGTTGTATTGATCGATATAAAGGTACGTACACACTTGCGATGTAGCAGTCATTAATCGCTGCGTTAATTGAGCGAGCGTTGCGATCGCCACGCGCGCGCCCTGTCGCATGTTATCGCTGCAATTATGCAAATTTCATGGAAAATTGTTCGACACTCCACAGGGTTGTCACTTAACATCAAAATATTATTTAAATATTTGTTTTTAACGTAAATTAAGAATCATGTAGTACAGTTAGAATCGTTAACAGCGTGAGTAGTTCAATATTGACAGCAAATCCATATACAGAAATGTCATTAAAATCGTAGTATACTTTAAAATAACATTTATTATTTACCATACATATATTTATTCAAATGTATAAGATTTTGATAAAAGTTTTTTTTTAAATTAAGTTTGTATTTAACCAAAATTGACAACCCTATTTCGCATATAGTAATTGTTAGCACTTATTTTATTTCACACGGTGAGCCATCGCTCATGATTGTGTACTCACCCTTAATTTATTTCACAGCAATAAATATAGCTTATGCTTTTTTTTTAAATCGACTAATAAAGAAATTTACTTTGTTCTTCACAACCTATTTCATACACCTTACTCTCATTAGCTTAGTAAATATCGCTTACGAGTATCTGTTTTTGTAATGTAGCTGTCACATTTCGTTTTACGGAAATATTTAAACCTTCTTTTGATAAAAAGTGTAATTGGCAATTATTACTGTTACATAAATTATTAATTGAAAATTGAATTTATTATTATTATTATTAATTGAAGTTGCATTTATGTAATTTATATATTTTTTTTGGTTTTGTTAAGTATAAAAAGTTACACAACACACAACTATTAGGACTTAATTTATAATGCTTTACTGTACTCTGACCCTTTGTACATTCGCTAACAAAAGTCTTGCGGTTATTCTGACAATTGTCGCATATCAACAACATGGCGTTGTGTGTGACATTACACCAAATGACGCAACCATTGAATTCAAACCACTAATTGCAAATCGCAAACCGCATTGTGCGTGAATTTAATAATTCGTATATTATCGTACATTGAGATGTATTATCGACACGCAATACTATTTACAAATGTATATCTGAAAGTATTATTAATATAATTTTTATATATATAATTCTTTTGTGAGTGTGTATGTCACTGAACTTCTCTCAAACGACTGGACCGATTTTGATGAAAATTTTTGTGTGTGTTCAAG